TGTACAGCAGGGAGCTGGCGGCAGCGTCATCTTCACCGGACACCGGCCCAATATCAACAATGTGCGTATTGTCCGTCAGCCAAAGATGGAGTACGCCCTTTGGATTGTCTTTTTCTCCATTCTTTGAATACACCGGCAGAGTGACGAGCATCACGTCCCTTTTATCAATCTTCGCTGTGCTGAACCCGCTCCCAACGCCCTTCTCTCCTTCACCCTTTTGTTTGTTGCCCCACACGCGCGAGAGTGTCCCGAGTGCCTCCGTCCACGACTCCCCCTCGTCACCGGACTCGTACACCCTGCGGCGGCCATCACACGCAGTCATCATCATGAGTTTGTCCTCCCACTCCGCAACGGAGGGATCACTGCAGCCATCGGCAGAAATCTCCTTCGACAGCGTCCAACCGGCAGTCTCCTTTAAGAACATGATCAGCGAAACCGTCCTTGTCTTTCCATCCTTTACATTCTTCGTGGCCTCCACCGGGAACAAAAGCGTATCGCCGTCCTTCGTCTCAACACCCGATCCACCGCCGCCAATCAGCCCTGTTAAAGATTTGATTTGTTCGTCAAAAGTGTTCCGCGCGAGACGTTTCGTATCGTTCCAGTCAATTTTTTTGCTTCCTCCTTCAGCAATGACAACACCGTTCAGCAAAAAAAGTCCCGAGTCTTCTTCACCACTATCCTGAACACCAGCAGCATTACGGTTGTGTTTTCCAACAAGCATGTAAATATTACTTCCCTTCACAACTGCTGTTGGTCGGCTCACATCTACTTTCTTCTTCGCCTTTCCAGAAGTAACTTCCTCCAGAACTTTTGTATACTTTTTGCCATCCTCCAGAACCTCCTTCGGTAAGTTATCCGCTGCTTCCGTGAGAAATCGGGATGCAATGCCAGTAAAAACGCTGTTATCTTCATCCTTCTTGCACTGCGCCTCGGCAACGGCAAATACATCACTCCCCACTTTCAAAAGGCCGGGAGCACCCAACGAATCCACAGTTACATCATCATCAGTGATGTCCTTCCATTCAAACTTTGGATCAGACGACTGCTCCACCTCAGCAACTTGCGCAGCTCCACCAGTGCCACAGCACATCGTCACGACGAGGAGGAGCAGCACCGCAGAAGCAAACACACGCCGGGACATGTTGGGCCTCTGCGGCTCACTCTCTCTTCCTTCCCTCCTCCTTCCGCTGGATCCGGTCACGCGGCGACGGTTGTGTGTGCGGGGTGCCTTCACTGCAGCAACACGTGAGAGCATACAAATATGTGTGTGCTGTTGGTGTGTGTGCTGTTGGTCCTTTCAGAGCCTTCGAATTTCGCAGTAGCGATTGGAGCTTGTTTGCTTTCCTTTTCAAGTATGTTTGTCAGAAATGGGGAGAAGAGCACAGGGAAACATATTAGACACGCCAGTGGGGTGCACAGCATGCCACTGCAGAACCAGAAATCATTTATTCCCACCACCCATACACAATGAGGTGGAAGGGCTGTGTGTTTTTTCAAAAAGGTCGACGCACAACCACCAACAGACGTGCCAGCGCTCACAGCCAAACCAAAGAAAAAAGGGATACCCGCCTCGTGGGCAACAGGACAACATTTCCGGCCTACACACAAAAGCAGCGGAAAAGCACTAAACAGACAACAGTCAGCGGCACACACGCCAGACCCAGCTGTGCCGCACGGAGCCAGTCGCCCGCCCTGTTGCTGAGAAACACAGCATGGAATATCCGCCGGCCATTGCGGCGGTGATGCACGCCAAGCCGTGCACAAAAACCCACCAGGACCCAACGCATTAACTCTAACTTCGCACACATCCCCCACAGTCGCATCCTCGACATTCCGAGCTGTGCCTCAGAAAGTGGTGAAGGGCAGCGTCGAAGGAGTCGAGCGCCTCCGCACCGCCGCGGGGCATCAGACTGAATGAAAGGCCAAAGTCCTCCACACTCATCACAGACGCGTCACACGCGCCGCCGTACTTCTCCCTCATGGAACGCCAATCAAAAGCAAATGTCGGCACCGTCATTCCCAGGGCGGCAGCGTGGCCCAATTCAAACGCCGTCCCGCAGTCCGGCCCATCCAAGCAAAAAAGACACAGGTCCGCAATGACGGCGTCGCGCCGCCTTACCATCTCCATTTTCTTCACCCACATCTCCCCAGCCCCTGGGGCCACGTTGTCAGCGGGAATGAGCGGCACGGCGACGTGTACCCACAGAGCCGTGCGCACAAGATCCTAGCACGCCGCACCCGTGTCTGCGTCGAACACAGCGGGGCCAGCAATGTACACCCCACTCATTGTGAAACTGCTTCCTTGGCTCCTGTCCCTCCGCTCCTCCAAACGTAGAAGAAAAGAAAGCGGAAGAAGTAAATCAAAAAACGGCGCCGTCGCAACAAGGCAGAAGCACGAGGAGCACCACTCACGCAGGACAGGCGTCGCTCGCAAGCAACGGAAACACAAGTTGAAGACAGAGGATGCCAGGAGCACAAAAATGCAGGCCTTCTCGGAAGAGTGCGCCCTCAATAAAATGCACCCGCAGCAAACAAATTAAGAACAACTGTGACGTCGCTGACGCGGCAAGCGGCAGACAGCGACGGCCAAGGCGCCGCTGACGCTACTGCATTCTCCACATTCCGCTCCGCCGCCCTCGCCCAGCGCCCGGCGTGGAGCGTGACGCAGAAACAATGAAAAATGAAAGCTGCCGATCGCATCGTTAGTGTGTGGAGGGTCCACGTATTGCGGGTAACGGGCCCACGCACGTGTCGTCCATGCCGCCTACATCAAGACACCTCGGAGAGCAGAAATACGGCCTCCACGCCGTCCAGTGCGTTGCTGGAACGGCACGGTAGTGGTGAGGCAAACACACACACACCTCGTCCACAATGCGGCAAGTGAGCGGCAAAAGAGCACAGCAACCACAACACCAAACTCCACACACGCGCAGAAGGGAGCGCGCACAGCCCGTCACTTGTTTTCTAGTGAGTGTGTGCGTGGGATGGACGCCACACCAGCAACAGCTTCAACGGCATCGACGTCTCATACAACACAATACTCGGCATCTCCACCTCGTGGCACCGGGCCCCAGAAAAACAATATGTGGGCGCAGCGCCTCCACCCTTCAAGCCAGAGGCACGGCGCATCCAACAAACCCGCCTTCCACCCCATCGTGTGGGCAAGACAATGCAGCAGGAAGCCCACTCATTAATGCCAGCAATACAATCCCCACGCGATGCGCACCACAGTGTTAGCTGCGTAAGCATGTGCGACTTTCAGACAATGCAGAACAAAAACAAAAAACGCATTGAAGGTGCATAGTGGTCCGGAAGAAATACATATATCACAGCCATCCTCCGTCTGCAGCACAGGACAGTGGCCGCACGGGCTGCAGTTGCGGCCGTACTCGCACGCCTTCAGCGTTCACAGCGTGTGCAACATGGCGTGCGTATGTTTACTTATGCTTGTGTGTATGTCAGCGCCTATATTTGCAGAGTAGCTATGCGGCAGAAGAGAATTCAAAGGGAACAAAGAGCAGAGAGAAGGACAGCACACACAAATTACTCACCTCATTATACACACGCAGCCCGCGGAATGGGTGCACCCAACCACAACACAAAAGATATAAAAAAAGCCGAAGCGTGGGACGACCAGCGCACACACTCTCATTACTCCCGTAAAGCAAAACACACACACACAGGGAGAGAGAGAGGTCGCCCACTCAATGCAATAAAAACAAAACAGAAACAGTTACGGTGCTCCGCCCATGCAGCCAGGCAGGACGGCAGCGGTGCGTGTCGTGCAAAAGAGAGCACCAACGGGCCTGCATGGGTGTGCATGCATATATACAATGGGCACATTATGTGTGTGCCTCGTGGGGTGAGGTGGGGGGTTAAGACAAATTATTGAGGACAATCCTAAGTGTATCATCAATTACGCCTAGTTTCGTGTGCCGTTGGGACTGATTGTTCTATTCATGGTCGAATATGTTTTGAGTTCTTTCAAACCCCTGTTACTCTAATATTACTGGAGGAAAATGGAAGAGGAAGTCTTTTTGTTATTATGCGGGCCGAGGTGCTCTTTGTGCGCAGGTTGTTTTTGGTTGCCTTCCCGTTCCTCGGTCCACTATCGACATTTTGGTGAGAATACTTTGCTGCAAGGAGCGGCGAATAAAGGCAGCTCAAAATCAAACGCCTTGACGCGGGAGCCGCAACGGATATATGTGTTGTTGGAGTCTCGCGGGATACAGGCATCCTTTGCCTACGTGGTGCCAGCAGAAAACCCTGCAGACGGCATATCGCGTGGTCGCGTGTTTACACTTCAGGACTTGGCGAAGGGGTGGAACTTGCGAAGGGAAGCGGCGGGGTCTTGTGGTTGGAGGAGTCCAAAGTTTGCCACTTCGTGAGTTATAAGATATCTAGTACTAACAAAGTACATCGTGTCATGAGAGTGGCAGTCCGAATATATATTCTTGGAGCAGACACTGAGGAGGTGGCGAACCCACGGCCTCTCTATTTAACTTTTCTCTTCATCCGTCATGTTTGACTTCTTTAGATCATTTCAGGATCCGGCCAGCAGCCCAGCCCAATATTGCTTTGTATAGGCGGTTGTGGGTTATTATCTCTGCCACTGGGACGTTTGGCATGCAGCAAACTGCGGTAGGCGATTAATAGCTATTTGCCTCTATACGAGCACCTGTGAAGGGGTGTTTGTTCTCTGTTTGCCGGAGCTTTTAGTGCGTGCGAGACTTCGGCGGTTGCTTGTTTATTTTCCATTATTTATTTATTTGTATTATCGTTAGGCGCTGTTTTGCTCGATGGGGCACAGTGTTAGGAAGGAGAACTGTTTGCGCAATCTGGCGTCACGCCGTGCGGTGCGCTTATTGGGAGAACAGCGGCTCTGTTGAACAATTGTTCA